CACCCCGAAAGCCCCTCAACAGACGATTGTATTCAATTCTACCCCAAGGGTAGGAAAAAAAGAAGTCCAGGTCATCGACAATTGACAATGTCGCCTCAGATATACCCAAATTATTATTCGGAGCGTAGAATACTCCTTCAACAATGAGAGCAAACCCGAGCTTGTATCGATCAGCTCGGGGCGTAGACGATTGGAGCAATGTCTTCTCAAGGTGGGCACATGAAATCTTGTTAAGTGATTTGAAGTATTTTTCCTTCAGTCTCTTCTTTTCCAAGACTCGGGTAAAGACATCGCCCTCCAGAGGGAGACTACATCGTAACCCCGTAACGACTGCATACTCTTGCAGTCCAAATCGAATCAAATGGCCTTGCACATTGAACCACAACTCCTTCACCTTATCTGTCCGTATTGATCTGAAGACGAGTTGTTGGAACAACTGTGCAAAGAACTGGATGTGTAGGACGTCGGCAAGGAACCCGAGGCATGATTCGCGGAAGTCTCGGAGCTGCCGCTCATCGAAATGGTCCAATACCCTTTTTACATACTTAAGGTTGCTCCTCTGTGAAATGCGGGCCCGCAACCGTGCGTTTTCCAGTACCTCCCATTCAAAATCCATCTCTTCTGCAAGGTACATCAAGAAAAAGAAAACATGTGAGATCGTGATATGTGGTACATGCACGTGGCAAGGTAAAAAAAAATTATGAAACAACAATTTTGAATGAATGCGAACACCTTATAAAGATATAAAACGAATATCAACAGTTGTATGAAAATCATTACACAGAAAATAATATATTACAACTGCACGAAAAGAAATGAGAAACATGTGTAATTGTTAAAGGGTCGACAACAACTGAAGAACTCTCGATTCTCGATAGTTCATCTGTCGAGATTCTGCCATTTGCCGAGAATGACTAAGGTTAATTGTCGGGTCTCGACAGTTAATCTGTCAAGATCCTATCATCTGCCGAGAATGACTGCGGTTAACTGTCGGGTCTCGACAGTTCATATGTCTTTATTTTTCCATATGCCGAAATTGGTGCTGTAATTCTTTACTGAAGTGAACTGTCGGGAAATCTACTTTAGACCTCTATGTAAAAAGGGTGCTATTCAACAGCTAATTTCATTCCTAAATATAGAAATAGTTATTAAATATTCCTCGTAAATACACTCGTCAAGTACATACAGAAATGGACGGCACGGAACACGAAGATTGGCATAGCATGACCAAGAAGATTGCACTTACTAGTACCGTGTACCATTTATGGATGGCGCGGAACAGGAAGATTTTTGAAGGACTTAATGCACAAGTACATAGTGTTATTAGACAGATTAAAACACACGTATACAAAGTGATGTTCTCTTTGTATCCGCATGTTTTAATCCTTTACGAGTCCTTAGCACTAGATATGTAGATGTTGTTTTCACTCTATTTTGTTACGGGTTAACCGGGAGTTTCTTGTATACATGGGATCATTTGTTCCTTTGATTTGCCCGGGAATGTCCGGTGTGTCTGTACATAAGTTTCGATCTATATAATTAATTATTTACCGACCAAAAAAAATTGATATTCTCCCCCAACTTCTCTCTTCCTCTCCCCCCTCTTCTTCTCTATTTTCCCCCCTCATTTCCCTTCTCTTCCCTTTCCCGTCTCTTATAAAATAAATATAATAAAAGTTAAAATAAATTAGCCTTTTTACCTTGGACTGTGACGAGTTGAACTTGTTGACATATATAATCGCTTGCCTTGGCTGCTACCCAACCCGAGTCCTTATCTGCAGTGGTAGACGCAATCAAATTTAGAAAATGCCAAATTTAGAAGGTAAAAATGGTTTACAAACTCCTCAAAACGTGGAAGATATTTATCTCTTCATATACTACAATCAAAACATCTTTTAAATATTGCAAGCTCTCAGCTGGATCATATATTCAAAAGACCCACAAAAAGCAAGAAGTCGGGTTGTTCAATACCATTTCTGATATTAGAAGCTTCCAGAACCTAAATTTTTTCTTTAAATGACAACAAATGCTAGAAAACCCATCAAATATTGTTGCCCCTATTTTGAATTTTTCATGAACTTTCCAAATAAAATCTCACAAATCATTGAGTAAATCTCACAAATCACAAATGATAATTCAACAAATCACATTAATGATCCATCACAAATCATAAATATATTTCCAAATTTCAAATAATGAAATACAGTAATATGAGCAATTAAGCAAAGCAAAACTATCCAACGGAATGCAGAAGTTGTTCGAAAGCAATTAATTGAGACCTTGAAATTGGAATTTAGAACGATTTAAATCAGAGGCTTTAACTAAACACTCTAATTAATTTTTTTTTTAAAAACAAAAATTTATTTAATATTGGACATAAATAACTTAATAAACTTAAAATTTCAAGTACACTTCTCTAACGAGGATCAGCACTTATCTTCCCTTTGATACTGAAGCAGGAAAACATTGTCCTCTGGGAAACAATTAACTAAGTTGATAAAAATCAGTCATCTAAAATGAAAATAAGAGATTCATACTTTTCATTTTATCATATAATGATGATTAATATATGAACCCAAGTAGAGTAAGGGCCAACTTCTCACGGAATGAACTTTTTGCTCTACATGTGCTTGAGATTTGTGTTAGAAAAGTTAAGTCGTGCTTAACGAAAATCAATACGNATCTTTTGAACAATATCACAAGTGCTAAAAATTACTTGTGAACAGATACACGGTGGACATAAAAAAGAACTTGAAAATCAGGCATCTCTAGAATCAAGAGCATTCCATTGCTACAAAGCCATCCCTTCACGATAAACATCCACCAATTGAGTCAAATCGTCCTTATAGTTGTACACAAATTTATTCAAGAAATCCACTTCACTATACTTCAAGAAAGACATTAAACGAAAATTTTCCTTGAAGAAGCCCTTTTGCATCAAAAGAGTAATCACATTACACCTAGGGATGATCCTCTTGTCCAGATTATAAAGAACAACTGCTGGAGACCATATAACAACTACAGGTTCCCATTTCATTTTATTTATAAAGAAATCCATCACCGTTGACAATTGGGCAAAAGGGTATTCTTTGGATTGTGCAAAAACACCTTAGGTTGTATCATAGAAATGGAAGTAAATAAATGGTACATAATAACAAAATGAAGTCCCAATCACTAGTTGAATGCATCCAGCTACAAACCTTGTAAATTTCATCCCCTAAATCCAATATTCTAAACCTTAAACCCCAAGAAAAAAAAAAATATTTTAAGTTCCTAAATTAAACTGCATATAACTCCAATTAAATTGTAGATAAGCGTGTCTAATTAGTAACAAAATTAAATAGAATATCTGAAATTGATTCAATCCAGCAAATGAATATGAGGAGATGTACAAAACCAAGCCCCCACCTATCTAATTTGGGAAAAATCACTGGAATTCACAAAAATCGGTTGCAATTCTACCTTTTATGTCCGGAATTCAGAATACCAAACCAGGCTGGCGGCGGTCCACGTTGATACGAACGTACAACAAGAAATGAAGAAACACAATTTAACGAAATAATACGAACATTATATAACAAAATGAAACGAATATCATGTAATACGCAAAAATCTACAAAACACGAAACAATAAATTACAAATCTACAGAAACAAATTTGAAAATTGTGATTCACAATATTTCGTACATGTTAATGTGAAACACACATGTTACGTTCGGAGGAACCAATGTTCGACATGTGGAACTGTCATGTGTCGAGAAAAACTGACCTCAATTGTCGAGTCTCGACAGTTGATCTGTCGAGATTATCCCATCTGCCGATAATTACTGCGGTGAACTATTGTGAACGACAGTTCTCCGCTATGCCGAACTGAATTGTCGGGAAATCTATTTTTCACCTCTAAGTGAATAGGTATTATTCAAGAGCTACTTTAACTAGTAAATGCAGAACTAACGTTGCATTTTCCACATAAAGACACTCAATTTGTAAATACAAAAGTTCGAATTCCTCCCAATTTTTGTAACAATGCAATTAAACTTTCTGTGAAAAGCATTAAAATCACAAAAATATCGAGTATTTATCAAGATTTCCACCCAAATGCATAAGAGGCACAATGTGGAATATACGAGTACCACTATAACATATGGACTTGCAAGTGAAAGCATTATTCAAGCAATGATCCACATTTAAAGCCAATATTCTTTAAACATCATAATGCAAACCCAAAAATTTACACCTATACAATTTCCTCTGAAGAGTGAATATCCTAAACAAATTCTTCAATTGATGGCTGGGCAAGCTGTGTACCAAACTCGAATGGCAAATGTCTGGATGAGGAGTCGAAAACTGAATGGTGGGATGATCGTTAAAGCGACCGAAACTCAATGGAGTCGGGACTGGGAGAAAGAGAAGGGAGAGGCGGAGGCCGTGAAGAAAGGAGGCGAAATGGAGATGGGAAGGAAGGAAAGGGAATAGAAAAGAGAAGAAAGGTGAAAAGGGGTTGTAAATGGTATTGAGTTAGGGTTGAAGGGTGAAAACTTATTTTGATATGACATTTTTTCAATTTTTTGTACAATTTTTGAAAATGGGTTGTAAATGGTATTGAGTTAGAGTTGAAAAGGGTGAAAACTTATTTTGATAATATGATGTGACATTTTTCAATTTTTTGTACAATTTTTCATATAGTCAAATCTCATGACATGCAGGGTATTTAAATTATCTAGTGGGACAAAAATGTCCAAAATTGACAATTTTACAAAGACTTTTAAAAATTGACATTTTTGTAAATGCAAAGCCAAAAATTGATAACTAGTACAATTTCCTCGTAAAAAGAAAATGAATAGCAATGAACGGTCGAAAATTTGACCCAAACAAAAATAAATTTGCAATATCAATATTATATTACAAATAGTCTTCGAAAGTCTCCTATAGCTAGTAAAATGGCATAGGGCTTTTGTTATTAGCAATTCTTGCACAAATCAATCACTTTCCCCTTCGCCATGGCCACTCTGATCTCATTATTGCTCTTTGTACTCTGCTGCATCTCTAGCTTCCGCCTCTCTTTCTCAGGTTCGATACTTGAATTTTTTTTACTTACAATTATTTTTATTCTGAAAAATGGACTATGGGAGCAATTCGATGTGTTCGAGGCTGTTTTGATTCTATTTTGCATGTATTTGACAAGAACGGTGGGCAGTTAAGTTTCAGTTGCAGTTGGCTTGCTTCATGTTTAGGTCATTTCGTTGATTGGTGATGATTATAAGGTTTTACTATGCAAGAATCCTTTAAATGTTGCTGTTATGTTGCAGAGGAATGAAATGATGCATTTTCTGGGAATTTGTTTAATGATTTCCCATGTTGGAGGAATGGCTGGCCGTGTGGCAAGCATTTTGGGATGTTAAATATTGACGTAAATCATTAAAGTTATGTGTAAAGTTGTCCTGTATTTTATTTTTTATTTTTTTTAAAGAGCTCTAATGAACCTAATGAATGTGTTTAGAGAAAGACAAGATGACAAAGCATTTATGAGCATGCAGGCAAAGTTGCATGTACAAGATTTATAACTCTAGATATGAGCGCTCAATTCATGTATTGACAAACTAGATAGTTAAGGTACCACTAGTTGATCACAAGAAACCTGTTTGGTGGTAAGCGGTAACTAAGATTTAGGTGAATGTACTGCATAGATGAACTCTTCATTGCATACCCTGTGCACCAACTACTAAAAAAAAATTGTGCGCTACAAGATTTCTCATCTATGGAACAGTATATTTGAAATGTTAGACTGTCACCTTGCTGGTAAGGAAGAGACAAAGTCAGCAAGAGTTTATCAACTTCACTGAGTATATGTTTCTTCCGCGGAAAAAGAATGAGATCTTGGAAAAAAATATATTCGACTGTTAGTTTGTTGCGTTACTTATAGGGAAGATACTTCATGTGAACAAGAGTCTATTAAGTTTTCTGAATGTAGAATATAAAAGGATGTATCTTTTCTTAGCATGGACTGCTAATTGTAGGTTTAAGTTGCAGTTGGGGATTACAACTTGGCTTCCTTGTTTAATTCTAATTAGTGTTGGATTTTAGGTTTTAAATTATAATTAGCATTTGCTTTATTGTATAACAATTAATAAAAGGAAGAATTAGATAAGTTTGTTTTTAATGTGTAAGAATTAAATAAGATCTTATGTGGAGAAAGTGTAATCAATCTGCAGTGTTATCAACTCTTGTAATTTTTGTGAGAGACATGCCCGTGCTGAAAGCGTTTCCCCCTTACTTATAATACATGGGTTTTATGAAGACTGATAACTGCACTCTGTTGGATGTATTTGATATGAATTTGATTCCACAAGTAGCGTCAAAGGGATGGATTATCAGTGAATGAAAATGTGTCATCGAAGTATTTGTGAGATTAAAGTAAAATTGGCTGACCAGAAAGATTTGTCTTAAGACTCCATATAGATCTCTAACTGCATGTAGAGGTTAATACTTGGATCACCACATCAATCGATAATGTTCCTGTTCTAGGTTACTAGGCCCTTTTTTGGCCCCCATATTCTACAACTCACTTTTCTCCAAACTCATTTTCAACCGCATATTTTCCAAATAAAATAATTTTGCACGTGGATCCATAACTTTTTTCTATTTTTTAACTACACATCAAATCACTTTTCACAAAATATATTCTCATAAATCTCTACCAAACAGAGGCTAAATATCATTTGCATGTCAAACCTTTTTGTGTTTACAGGATTATATTTTGTTCAACATGAATGTAATATGTATTAAAAAGATATTGATTGAGAACATTCGTGATTGTAATGTATGAGATCTTCATCTTGTTTATTATTGTTCAAGAAGATTTGAATATATTATGTGGTCTGCCAAGTCTCTAGTCAGGCTGTGGAAGCAGTGGACTGCTAAGTAGGTCTCTTTCTATAAGGTACTTGCATGCTTCTCTTGTGCAAATATCTGGAGCTGCAGTTCACACTCAAGTGACATGAAATTTGTATTTTGCTCTGCTATTTTTTTTTATTTTTTTTATCTTTTTTTCCCTTCTTCTCTTATGTTAACTTTCTTTCTGGCGTGTTTCTGCGGAATATCTTATCTGTTCTAATTTTAAGTTTTATTGGTTTTGGACAGATTCAGGACAGGAAAACTCATTTGAGTCGGTTCCTGATCTGGAGAAGTCAATGTACATGCATATTGATGGATACCCATGCGTGCGGCTGCTCAACCTTTCAGGGGAAATTGGTTGTTCAAGTTGGTATTTTTATTATATTGTTGATTGAATTTGTTGCATATCTAATGCATTATTAGCCTCCCTCTCTGATTTCCGATTTGCATTTCAGATCCTAGTCTCGAGAAGGTTGTTGCTCCAATAGTTAGATACAAGAGTGTAGATGAGCTTCTCGAATCAGCTGCAGTATTGGTCTCCATAGATGAATTTGAGATCTTAATTTCAAGGCATGTAATGTTATTTTTATATGGACACAATAATTTAGTTCTTTCTCTTTTTCTTTCTTGATGGCCTCTTTAATAAAGTTGATCTAAGTAGTTAAGTACTTGAAAGTGCGTAAAAAGAAAAGAAGTAATATAGTGAATAAATCAATGTACTTAGAGATCCTGACCTGTATCATTATGTGTGAACATATCCCTCGGGTTACTTCTTTAGAAATTGACTCTATGAAATTCATTAAATGAAAATGAGGACATTTATGAGCTCAATAATTGCAATTTAGGTATCTATAATTATGTGCTAGCTGAATGCATGTTGTTTGGAGTTTGATTGATGATGATCAATCTTCAAGGGCCTTATTCCTGGATAGTATTTCTCACTTTTATAAGATGTACTTTAGATAGTTGAACACTCTCTTTATTAGTAAACAATATGTGATGCTCAGTTGTCAGGCTAAGACTTGTAACCTAAATAAGAAAATTTCAATGTGCTGGTCATTAAGAAGGTATAATTGCGCTTCTTCTTCATCTCATTAACTGTCACTTCATTGGAGTTTAGTAAGTTATTCTAGATGGAATTCTGTTCCTAACCCCCTTTCCTTGCAAATGGCACATGATATGATGAATTGTGCATGTGGTGACTTAATCTTTACAAGAAAACTTTGTTTTTCATTTCTATTTGGTTTTTTATGGATCAACTAGCATGTAGGCTTTGGTTTTTGTCACATGATTTTCCATGCACACCCATTTTGGTCAATAGGTCAAGCTTATGCTCTCTATTATATATTTTTTGACCTTGTACTTTCTTAATATGTATTTCCTGTATATCTTATTAAAGTGACCGGTGCTCTGCTAAATCCAATTTCATTAAGCAATCTTCTAATTATCATTGTTGTTCCTTGTTATCTGATTTCAGATTATCAAAAGATTTAGAATTTGCAGGGAAAGTGGCCGGTGTATTGGTTGAATCACAAACAGAGGTCTCTGATAGGTTGAAGGGTAAATGCAGACTGCTGTTAATTATTTTTGTCTGTTGTAGTGAGAGGGAACAAAAGTCCAATAGCAAAAATAATTGATTATATTTTACCCTTTCAGGGTTTTCTCCAGATGGAAAGTTTCCCGAAGCAGAATTTGCTCCATATCAAAGCAACAATTTTGAGTGGAACCCTACTGTATGTTAACTAATTATATGCTCAAAGTTTCTCTTGTTTGCCTCTTTTGATGTATGCTGAAAAGTGGAAAGAACAATTTGTTTGAAATTCAGATCTGCGCTTAATAAAAAAAACACATTACTGGTTGATCTACATTATCAAGTTTTTTTCAACTTGCAGAGACTTCATGTATAATTTTCTACCTATCAGTTCTCATTGTTTCCACCTGCAGGGATCTGGAATTATGTGGAAGGCTTATAATTTCCCTGTGTTTTTGCTTTCCGAGACTAGCACCTCGATTTTGCAAGAGGTAGTTTGTGTTCTGGAGACGTTCTATACCCACCATAATTTTGTTTCTTGGTTAATTAGTTGTCAGAATAAGTAAGCTATCATTTGAGAAGAAGCAAATGAACCCACTCGAAGAAAGATGCTGTCAGAGTGTCAGGTTTCCATTCATTTAAATCACTTCTTTCTATGATACCTCATTTGGTTAATATTTTAAAATCAAATGGATTGATGTCGAAAAGAGCATCTCAGAGTTTATTGGGACCTTAGCTACTGTTGTTTTTTGAACTAATTTTTTGGGTACCTTCTGTTTGTGAAGGTTCTGCATTTAGCTCTCTGTACAGTGGGGATCGAGATGACTTATCCACAATAGAATATCAGAAGTCTAGTTATCTTGTTAAGCTTTGCTTTAATTTTGTTTTCTTAATTAATGAAGAGTTGAACACTTTTGCTGTTTGGGTTGCATGCATTCTCTTCTTATATCTGGTTTTCTAACAACAAAACCTCTCTCGTGTATGCAGGTTGTCATGAAGAATGAGAAGACCAAGAAATCCAATACTGAAAATGTCGCTGAATTTAATGTGGTGATGCAGGTAAAAGTTTTGGCAAGAGCACATTGATGAAATCAACACGTAGGCTCTAACAACATTATAATAAAACCTGATAGTACAGAGTTTCTATTTGTTGACTAATGAATGCACCTAATGTTTTTAACTTTATCAGACAACGAAAGCTGGAACTCGTGATTCAGACTCTTGTTTGAAAGAAGAAACTTGTCTACCTTTGGGTGGATACAGGTGATTTCATGAATTTTAGTTCAATTTCTTTGTGAAGAACTGGTTTTACGTGTTCTAGTTCAAAGAATTTCTAGAATTTTAAGGTTGGTGTCTTTCATCATTATAGGCTGAAACGGGAACAATAAGGATCCATGATTTTCTGCTAGATCTTTAGAAAGTAACAATGTCATTCAACCAGTATGAATTTTTTATCGGTCAGTGGTATGTGCAATAAAGGCAAAGCTAAAAAGGTTTTAGGTGAGATTAGCAAATGTATATCGTTTAAATATTATTTTCAACACTTCCTCACACATGTAGGTGAGATTCATTTTCTCCCGTGAAAGCGTAACTCATGGACAATTTTCTTTAAATGGGTGATGGCGAGAATTGGAACTAGGACCTTTGTGTGCTCTGATATCATGTTGAACCACTTGATAAAAGCTTAAGCAGTTAGATAGGGCTAAATGTATATCATTTAAATATTATCTTCAACATACATTGAAGCTTTGCTTCTTTGTTGGAGCATTTTATGTTTCTCCAATAAAAGTTTTGGCTCATTAGGTATTAGAGCAGAAAGTTAGGAATGTAAAGCTAGTCCTGCTTCTCTGGCAAATAGTTCTAGTAAACATTCTTTTTAAGTTACATGTTTTGTCCTTGGTGGCCGTCGAATTCTTGGAGAGGTCTTCAAATGCCTTTGGATTTTCATAGTAAATGGTATGTTTTTTTTTTTGGTTTTATTACTCAATAGCAGTTTGTATAATTATATCCAATATCACTCAGCTGTCATGTAATAAGGTCTCATGTAGTGCATTGGTTTTCAACTTGTATTGATTATGTTGCTAAGTTAATTGACCTTTTATTTCCTATTGTATGAAGGGCAGTGTCTGGTCAGCACTTCCACCTATTAATATTTCATCGTCACAAAAATCGAAGCCAGTTGTATTAACTATGACATCAATGGATTCAGCATCTTTTTTCCGTGACAAAAGCCTCGGAGCAGACTCCCCCATATCAGTGAGTTATCATTTTCACAGCCATTCATTGTTGTTTTTTATGTTGAAAACCATCTCATCATTGGAAACCATATTCTTTCTTTGTCATGTCTTTGTTTGCAAGATTTGAAAATCACTCTCAATGTTAAAACAATTTTTTAGGGTTTGATTACATTGCTAGCCGCAGTGGATGCTCTTTCATATCTTGACGGCTTGGATGAACTTAATAAACAGGTTGGTCTCTTAATTGATGAATTTTTGAAGTGAATGTTCATGTTCAATGGTTTCAACAAGGCATAGCTTCCATTGTGACCAATAGTTGCAGACTTGCAGTTGTTACTGCTTGTTGGTCTATTTATTTTGTCATGTCATGATAATGAAGATAATTAAATTGCTTATATTCTTTGTAAGTTTGCCTATGTTTCTTCTAACCTGTAGGAAACTCAGTTAAAAGGAGAGATGCAGAAGGTGCCAACAAGTATAAAATTTTGTCTAATCTTATGAGATTATCCTTCTAAGAAATACCATAAAGATTCAAGTCCATAGAATAATATGTTGGAACTAAGAGTTTGAAACTATTAGTGAATTAAGGATAGAGTTTTGAAAGAGATTGTAACACAAGTGGAATGAGATGGCTACAATGAAACATGACAAATGATGTACCAGGAGAGTTTAAAGTTAGAATCCCTCGAATAAAGAAACATGGTGGTGGAACATGAATGCTTAGATTGCTGTGAAGGATTTTGAAACACTATGTTAACTAAATGGGAAGCTAAGAGATTGGCTTCAGAGTCCATTGTGGAAGTATACAAGTATTTGTGTAGTTATCTGGGAAAGATTGGGAGAAAGCTACATACAAGATATCTTTGCTGAGAATGAAGTAGATATCTTGGCATATAAGATAATAGAATGGATAAAGAACAAAATTGGTTTTGTGCGAAGGAGAATATTCTATGAAAATCACTTACCTTTTATGAGTTAGATAGAAAAGGATGGAGGGAAGAAAAACATTTTCATATGGTTTTTATTGATTCAGAAAAGTGTATTCTTAGATGTCCGACCAGTTGATATGGTAAGTGCTAGAGAGAGAATTTCGATGGATATATCACTATTATTAATGCTATGTATGGAGCAACTACTGTTATGTAGGCTTGTGTCAAAGTTCTACTTTAATTTCTTATCTTTTCACTTTAGTCATGGATGATTTTAAGAGACATATCCAAGTTGAGGTTCCTTGGTAGGTGTTATTCGCTATGGTTTCAGGGGTAGAGACTAGGAGGGGGTAAATTAAGATTAGAAGTACTGCACTCCTAGTAGAATACATTAGAAAAGAGAAAAGTAGACCACAATCAGCATAGCCTGACTTCGTTGTGTTGGTCGACTTTAAATTAGGCTTAGTGTAGTTGTTCTCACATTTCTTATGAATAACATTAATTTCTTGTTTTCTTTACAGTTCCTCTCAAATTTATCAAAATAGCTATGTACATCATCTAAACTGACATTCTGTTTAATGTTGGTGTAAAATTTCCTTGAGATGCTATAGATTTTCATCACTCTTTTCTGTACTATTTGTGCTAAAATTTAATCTCTGCTTCAGCTTGTGTTTGTAGTTTTCACTGGAGAATCCTGGGGCTACCTGGGCAGTCGCAGATTCATTTTAGAAGCTGATCAACACTCGGACTCTGTTGAAGGCCTCGACTTCGCGATGATTGAAACTGTATTTCTCCTCTGCATGCTCCTTTTAGCGTAATTGGAAATTCTGTATGATGGACTATGAAAACTTTGATAGCCTTGTTGACTTATAGTCACCAAAATGACGTGTCATTACCATGGCAACACAAATTTCTTTGCTTCCATGTTCTGACATTCTTCATGTGGACAGAGAAGCAGAGTAATTGAATTAATAAACTTTCAGAACAAATTTGTCTTTCCGATTTTCAATTATGTTCATTTTCCAAAAAAAGAAGGAAATAAAGAATCTATGTCCTACCCTCTCAGTTGGCCTTTTCTTAGAGTATATTATGTGGCTGGCAATTCTTGAAGAACTTTTCTTTTCGTTGAATTTCTAGCATTCATAAAATGGTACAAGGAATGTAAATTAGAAATTTTGTATCTGACCTTATATAAAGTCAAATGGTTGATAAACTGCTTTTTAATAGGAGCCATAGCCAGCATTCCATCATATCCTATGTTCCCTTGTCCGTTATGAAGTTGCTTTTTATTTACATTCTACTGGACCATTGCAACTTGTGGAAAATGGGGGTTGATAATTTGCTATAGTACCAAATCTATGTGCCAGTGGCATTTTCTGAAGCCTAGCTCTTCCTCTGGTTAATAGATAGATAAAGTTTTGAGGTTCATGTTGGTAAAAGTTAGCACATGCATGGGGATAATACTCAAAAATGGTCAGGTTTGTGGTCTACCCCTTCATTAAGTGCGTCATCTATTACTGACGTAAAATCCAAAAGAGAGTGGACTGTTATCTAGTCTCTTTCAGACTCTTCCTGCTCTCTTTATCATTACTGAGATTTTTTGAGGTTCTAATTTAAGCTTTTACTTCTCCCCTTTTGTCGGTTTTGATGCATGAATTTTGATGATTGTGTTCCTAAAGTATTGGTAAGTAATCTGGTATGTAGTGGGAAATAATTGTGTTAGTATGATTTTTGCAGGTGATGGAAATTGGATCTGTTGGAAAGGGGTTATCTAATGGCATCAAAACATTTCATTCTCATGCTTCTGGGGTAAGACATTTCTTTTTCTAGGAACTTAACCTACCAATACTATGCTATAATATCTTAGCCTTTACTTTGATCGATTACTTAGTACCTTTTATCCTTGTCTCTATCCTGCCCATGATGCAATAATGTCATGAACTAGACAGTTATCATGGTAACTCGTCCTCAAGTTAAATCATTAACCCTGCAGGATACATCGGGTACAAATAAAACATTTCATGCCTTGCTACGTGCTCAAGATTCCCTGAAAACTGAAAGCGTTAAGATCTCCATGGCGAGCACGTCAAATCCTGGAGTGCCTCCATCTTCATTGATGACATTTCTGAGGAAGGTCAGCACTTAGTACATTGTTAGGAGTAGTTCATAGGAACAGACATTTTGTTGCCCATAACAAGATCTCTTTAATGGTATTAAACCCCCTGTTTGATGCCCATTAAAAAGAGTTTTTTTTTGGAGAAAATGAGTTTTGAATAGTGATTTTTTGGAGAATGTGTTGTTTAAAAGTAGGAAAAAAAATTTGGATTTACGTGCAAAATATTTTATTGTGAATGTGTGTGGTTGAAAATGAGTTGTAGAAAAAAGAGTTTTTGGAGAATGATAGACAAACATGAGCTAATATTTATCTAGCTTTAAATGTTAGATGAATTGATGAAATGTGAATCATATATTTTTTCGCTATGTGTTTCCTAACTGTAACCTGTTTAGCAGAAATCCCATATTTCTGGTGTTGTTTTGGAAGATTTTGATACTTCTTTTGCCAACAAATTCTACCACAGTCACCTGGATGATCTATGTGAGTGAACCCAAATTCACTTCTGTCCCTGATCTATACGAGGATTATATATATTTTGTTTATAATATGTTGCTTTGATACAGCTAACGTCAACTCTTCAGCCATAGTAGCTGCTGCTTCCCTAGTTGCTAGAACACTATACCTCCTTGCCAGTGACCAGAATGCTTCGGCTATAAATGCTATCAATGTCAATGCATCTTTGGTGGAAGAACTTCTTGGTTGCCTATTAAATTGTGAACCAGGCTTATCATGTGAGCTGGTGAAGCACTATATTTCTCCCTCTGCCACTTGCCCTAGCCATTACGTAGGTGTTATTCTGGGAGAACCTTCTTCTGTGCCTTATCCTGCTTATGTGAGTGATGTTTCGAGGTTCGTTTGGAACTTCTTGGCCGTTAAGACATCAATCTCTTCAAGAAATACTAGCTCTGCCTGCACTAAGGATTGCAACGGTGTTGGTGAATTGTGCGTACGAGAAGAAGCTGATGGGAAAGGCATCTGCGTTATATCAACGACCAGGTATTTAATCTCGGCCTACTTTTATTTCACAAGGTACATGTTGCAAAAGCGTATCATTATTGCAATTTGAATTATGAGTACAAGTAGAAGCCGTAGAGCAATGAGATGTTTATTTTCCATGCTTAAGGTAAAATCTGGAAAATTTTAGTATCCCTCTTAAAATGAATGATCATTAATTTTTCTATGGTCGGCCAAAGTCATTTATCCTAGTTATTTAATGGTCCATTCTTCTGTGGAATAAGCTGGCCGGGAAGGCTTGCATTATCATTATTTAAATCCCATTATGCTCAAATGGGCTGCATAATGACTGATTAACACTAAATTACATATTTTTTCAATTGTATCCATGTTTTATAAGCTTCATTTAATCTCAGGTATGTCCCAGCATATTCGACACGGTTGAAGTATGAGTCTGGAAGCTGGACTGTGCTACCCTACAATTCTTCAGATGAGTTGAGCGCTGCTGACCCTGTCTGGACAGAGAGTAATTGGGACACAATTAGCCTCAGGGTGTATAAGGTCCAGAATGCTGCTTATGATGGCCTAATTCTGCTGTCGGGTATAGTTGTTACAGTTTCGACTTACCTTTTAATACTGATGACCAGAACTTTCATTCGGAAGGCCCTGAAGCGGGATTGACATACAATGATTTTACATAACATATTGGTGACTTGTGTAATAGCTCATGAGCCGGGTAAAGAAGACTTGTCGTAAAATGTTACCGAGCTACTGACAAAGTGTAAAGAAAACAAAATCAATGCAATGGTCCGTGGAAAAGAAATATGTGCAGACATTTGGAGTAATCAATTGGGTATAGCAATTTTTGCGCTGAATCCTTGTTTTACCAAATCATTGGCTATCACTAGTATCAGATTGGTGTTATTTCCAAGCATATTTTACTGAGGAGTTCTAATTATAAACACTCGC